CTAGGAACCCAATTGTTGGCACGCAAATCAAGAACATTACGGACCATGAACTTCAATCGTGGTGCCAACTGAGGGTGCGTAGTCAGTTCTTTCAATCGGCCAAAGTACATATCATTTATACGACGTGACTTTGCATTCTCATCTAGCTGCTTACCTATGGTGTTAAAGAACTGACAAATGGCCTCCACATTTTCTTCAGCAGGACAGGTTTTGTTATCTGGTCCTAAAAGTTCCTGATTACAACACGAAACCAGAAGAGGTCAGCATTTTATGAAATTTTATGTAAGGCTGAAAAACGTAAGCAATAATGTATATGGGCATCAATCAAATAAAGACCTGCACAATGTGGTGGACAATCTTCTCAGGCACCATCTTTTGCTTTAGAAGCTCTCCAATTAATCGAATATTCCCAAGTGTACGAAGCTTGACCAGTCTTTCTTTATCTCTGCGCTCCATCTCTTGCTCAGGGGCAGTCATCTGCCTAACCTCTTCCCTCAACTTGTCTGCACCTTCAAAAGCCTCCTGGCAGATGTTTAAGAGGACTCGTTTAAAAGTAATTTCCCTTCCACCAGGTTCATCAGAGGGGAATTGAGGCAGCTTCAGATTCAGATCAGAACACAATTGAGCATACATGGGGCAAAATGTGGGCTCAAGAACAGCCTTGTCAAATATCAGTGAAATGACATCCTGCATTGGAAGCAAAGTGAGATGGGGGAAAAAAGTAACATCCTCTAGCATCAAGCGAGTGAATGAAGATGACCTTCAAAATATCGGCGGAGGTGATTCCAGAGTCAATTAGCTGACCCTTAAGGAGATCGAATTTTTCTGGCGTTAGCTTGTTCAATATCCTACATAATCAAAACACTTTTATCATTGGGTATAAAGATATTCAATGGTATTAGAAGGTTTAGAGGCATAAGGCTCGAAGGTCGCCTTTGTGGCACAACTTCAATTCTAAGGACTCGTGCCTCTTATAGATGAGGTGTACGCCTCCATTTGAACATGCTAAGGTTTAGATCTGTACCCCTCATGGGTGGCCAGAAGAATAAGACCAATGGACTGCCCAGGCTTGAATTTATGACAGCTCATTAATGTACATAATACTAAGTATATAATTTTGCCCATTACTACTCACTCTTAACACTTACAAAAAACTAAAGGATAGGTAAATCCTAATTGAAAATGACCCTTAGAATCTTAAATAATGACAGTGATCAATGATGGAAAGATGAAATTTCAGTTCATTTATTAGCTTCATATATGGTTGATATTTATATATATTTGTGAAAGATGAGATTTCAGTTCATTTATTAGTAATACACTGTTTTAAATAATTAGGATTTTTATCCTTCTTTTTTTTTATTTATATTGAGTCTTTTGCCTCCTTTAAGCACCTCCTAAAGACAGGGCAACCTCAACATTTCAAAACATTCATGAGAATGTAATCCAAACTTTCTTCAATCCTTTGGCAACACCGTATTACATAAAGCAGTTACAAAATCAAAGGCTTTCTAAGCAACTTTACACAGATTCATCAACATCATAGGAGCTACATCCTATAAATATTTTTTCAATGCTGTTTAAATGTGAGGGACAATGTACAAAAAAATCATAATAAGGAAAGAAGTAATTATCATAGAAGATGCTGCAATCAAGAATAAATCTTCATGCATTGCACTATTAATTTGTATCAGGGATCAAGTCCGGAAAAATATAAATCAGTTGAAAATTAGTCAACTCTGGCAATTGATCTAGAAAAAAGGTACGGGACTTGAGAATCCTTCTGCAATTTGACACTGTGGTATGCTTTAGTTTTAAACTCTGTGACAGATAAAGGCATAGGATTTCTAAGAGTAAAGGGATAGGATAAGGATCAAAACAACAAAACTCATATTCAATTCCAAATTAAAAGGAAGTGAAAAATAGATTATGTATAAGAGTATGATGAAATTACAATCATGAATAATTGCTGTTATTAATATGCATTACCCCTTTACAGTCTTCAAGACACGATCCTTTTCAGAGAGACTTCCTCTCCTAGCTGACCATGGTACCTCAGCTTTGATTAAAGCAGCAGGTGCTCCCTAAAATAAAATGATTAAACGGATGTTAAATAACTTGATATAGGGCTATTAGAACAATTTAGAAACAAAAAATGCAGTGGAGAGAAAAGGGACCAAAGTGTAAGTGCATTGCAAACAAGTCATTCTGTATCATACACTTAACTTGTCAACGAATTTCACGTTATACTTCAGAACAGCTGGAAATATAATATGTATATTATATATATAGCTCATCACATCCTAAAAAATGTCTTAAACTGCAAACACACAATTCCCTTAAAAAGCACTCATTGATCTCAATTGATATGAAAAGTAAAATCAATTTGTTCAAAAAGGTGCTTTACAATGGCGAAAAAATTCTAGATATATTTATAGATATGACGAAATGAAAACATTAAAACTAGAATATGGAATTTCCCAACAACATATAAGCAGTTAGTTGAGCTAGAAACCTGTCGGCATTAAATTATGTACATCATAAAATTCAAAGGAAAGAAAAAGTCATATTTCTGTCTTAGATGCAAATTAGTTTTGAATGAGGTTTGAGATCTTGTTCCTGTTTAAAATAGAAGTAGGCGAGATGTTCTCTTCTGAATGCAAACACATTCCAAGCAAATCGACTAATTAAAATGGCAGA